TCAGTACTCTGTACAAAATTTGGCTTCAAGCGAACCAATTTTGCGAGTTTGGTGCACTATTTACATTAAATCAGACGAAACTATACATAGGAGCTATATCTAAATCTGAACAAATTTACTCCAATTTCAATAGGGTTCGTCCTTGGGCAAAAAAAGTGACATGTGCCAAATTTCATCCACATCGGATCATAAATGCGACCTGTACTTTGTTCACGGTCCTAATTAAAGACTTTTAAGTATTATAGATACACATGAAAACTACAAATTCTCCCCTTACCAATAGTAAAAGTTTCACGTCAATACATGCATTCATTGCTGAGCTACAGCTATTTAAAGTTTACTTTGTGTCAAAATATAGCGGCTACACGATTCTGTTTGCCTATTACCTGAAATTGAATAAATTAAGAAATTGCATGTTCACAAAAACAGATAAATGCGAGGATAGGTAGGTGTGTTACCATATTAGTCAGTACTTAAATTGTGTGGTTTCATGTTATTTTTCAAATTCTAAGCATATTTTTAGGCGTTACATGAAAACCATACCGCACACAAATTTGTAATGGACATCTTATTTCAATGTATGCATGTAAAAGTATGCTCATATTTGTAAACTAAATGTGAAACACACGATGAAACGAACGATCTGGCAACAATTAATTACTGACTTCTTCTTTTGCTTTTTAAAACTTGGAATTTCTTCATTTTTATTTTTTTATGGTAATAGGCAAACAGAATCGCTAGCAGCTATATTTTGACACAACATCAACTTCAAATGGTTATATCTTAGTAATGAATGCATGCATTGGCATGCAATTTTCACTATATGTTAGGAGAGAATTTGTAGTTTTTATGTGTTTAGATATTAAAACATTAATAAAATTAATAATTAACAAAATTAATTAGTTTTAAGAAACTGCCTATAAATTGCGAGATATTTGTGTTTCAAGAAAAAAATTAAATTAGATTGCTGTTGAAGTTTAGACTTAAAGAATTTAATTTGTTTTGGTGCAAAAATAAGGAGAATTGAGGGAATATGGAGGACATAAAGAACAAATGCTGCGGTAGAAGTCCAAGTACTATACGTCATGAGACGTTGTAAAATGTCAATACAATTTATGAAAAAATAATAATATATTTTAGATGTCCCTCTAAAATATATGGGGTCCTCAATATGTTTTTAACAGCAAGAAGTAAACCTAACCATAAAGTATATGTGCATGTTCTTTTTTAGAACAAAATTGTATGTCGATTTAGACATGTCCGCCTGTTTATGCGTCCGTCCGTCCGCCCGTCTGTTCGTCCGTCTAGAGCTATCAATGTTTTAGATAGAGATTTGAAATTTTGTACTGATATTGGTAGGATTTTTGTCATTTAAAATGAGATATATGGGTGCAGGTTTTGTAGTAGCTCCCAAAAACGAGTTCCGTGCAATTGTAAGTATTTTGAGGAATGATACATCATTTCCAGCCGAAACACTTTAATTTGTTTTTTTTTTTTTTTGGAGGATGGCATCTATCTGTGCATTTCATTTGTTACCGAAATTTGCCTTCAAAAGGGTTGTAATTTACTTTTTCTTGTGACCTATGGGCTACAAAATATCCTTGGAAAACATAGTCGAGATAGTCGAAGGACTTTTTAGCTTATTTTATATATTAAAAAGTAAATCTAATTATACATATTATACACATACTATTATTTTTATAAAAATATATTTTGTTCTTTTTGTTTACTCTTTTAATTTTAATATTCTGGTTCGATTAGACCAGCTTATTTATCCTGATTCTTCCAATACTTTAATGTCAGTTTAAGTGTTCACATTATCGAGAGTTCACTGTATATGTTTTTTTCAAAAAGTTGATCAGCTTTGGAAAGGTTTCAGATGAGGTTGTCCTATTGACCCCATCTTAGAATTTAATGTAGGGGGATGTACTAGGATTGGACCGATAAGTTCGGAAGAAAATATATATAGGAGCTATATCTAAATCTGAACCGATATTACGAAATTTAACACGCATCGTTCTAGACTTAATTCAGTACGCTATGCCAAATTTCGTGCAAATCGTAGGGTATATAGGGACTTTGGTGCAACATTTACCTAAAATCGGACGAAAATATATATAGGAGCTATATCTAAATCTGAACCGATATCACGAAATTTAACACGCATCGTTCTAGACTTAATTCAGTACGCTATGCCAAATTTCGTGCAAATCGTAGGGTATATAAGGACTTTGGTGCAACATTTACCTAAAATCGGACGAAAATATATATGGGAAATATATCTAAATCTGAACCGATTATCACGAAGTTTAACACACATTGTTCTAGACTTAATTCAGCTCGTTATGGCAAATTTTGTGCAAATCGAAGGGTATATAGGGACTTTGGTGCACCATTTACATAAAATCGGACGAAAATATATATGGGAGCTATATCTAAAACTGAACCGATTTTCACGAAGTTTAACACACATTGTTCTAGACTTAATTCAGTACGTTATGCCAAATTTTGTGCAAATCGAAGGGTACATAAGGACTTTGGTGCACCAATTCGTGCAAATCGGACGAAAATATATATGGGAGCTATATCGAAATCTGAACTGATTTTCACGAAACTTAACACACATCACTATGGACTTAATTCAGTACGCTATGCTAAATTTCGTGGAAATCAAAAGATATATAGGGGCTTTGGTACATCATTTACATAACATCGGTCGAAAATATATATGGGAGCATATCATAATCTGAACCGATTTTTAATAGGGTTCGTCCTTGGGCCAAATAAGTGACCTATGCCAAATTTCATCCAATTCGGATCATAAATGCGACCTGTACTTTGTTTACAATTTAACATGGACAGACGGACGAACGGACATGCATAAAGGAACCATGGGTCTATCTCGTTTCCTTTTGCCTTTTACAAACATATGAATAAAGACATAATACCCTGTACCACTATGAAGCATTGAAAAAGTATTCTTTAAAAAATCCACGCCTTCTATAGAACCTTGAAAAAATATTCTTTAAAAAATCAACGCCTTCTATAGAACATTGAAAAAATATTCTTTAAAAAATCCACGCCTTCTATAGAACATTGAAAAAATATTCTATAAAAAATCCACGCCTTCTATAGAACATTGAAAAAATATTCTTTAAAAAAATCCACGCCTTCTATAGAACATTGAAAAAATATTCTTTAAAAAAATTCACGCCTTCTATAGAACATTGAAAAAATATTCTTTAAAATATCAACGCCTTCTATAGAACATTGAAAAAATATTCTTTAAAAAATCAACGCCTTCTATAGAACATTGAAAAAATATTCTTTAAAAAATTCACGCCTTCTATAGAACATTGAAAAAATATTCTTTAAAAAAATCCACGCCTTCTATAGAACATTGAAAAAATATTCTTTAAAAAATCCACGCCTTCTATAGAACATTGAAAAAAAATTCTTTAAAAAATCCACGCCTTCTATAGAACATTGAAAAAATATTCTTTAAAAAAATCCACGCCTTCTATAGAACATTGAAAAAATATACTTTAAAAAATCCACGCCTTCTATAGAACATTGAAAAAATATACTTTAAAAAATCCACGCCTTCTATAGAACATTGAAAAAATATTCTTTAAAAAATCCACGCCTTCTATAGAACATTGAAAAAATATTCTTTAAAAAATCCACGCCTTCTATAGAACCTAGGGAAAATATTCTTTAAAAAATCCACGCCTTCTATAGAACCTAGGGAAAATATTCTTTAAAAAATCCACGCCTTCTATAGAACCTAGGGAAAATATTCTTTAAAAAATCCACGCCTTCTATAGAACCTTCTGTGGAGCATTAAAAATATTCTTTAGAAAATCCACGTCTTCTGTGGAGCATTAAAAATATTCTTTAGAAAATCCACGCCTTCTATGGAGCATTAAAAATATTCTTTAGAAAATCCACGCCTTCTATAAACATTTTTAAAAATATTCTTCCAGAAAATCCACGCCTTGTTGAAGAAATCTTCCCTCTGCCAAGTTTCTCACTTCAGCCTTCATTCTACATCATCCATCGAATTTTTCTTCCTTTATAATTTTGAAATAAAACACCTTGTCACAATTTTTTTTCTAACAATTGTTTTCATACATTTATTTGTTTGTTTTTTTTCTTGTTTTATAATGAAGTTATTGTTATTTTGTTTTACAAATTTTATTCCATAATTTACATATACATATATTTATATATACTCATTTACATATGAGTATGAAGGGGACCTTTACTTGACTTATAAATTACATAAAAACATTTATATTTAATAATAATTATTATTATTACTAATAGTTATTAATATAGTTGGTATTTTATATATATATTAAATATTATTGGTAATTGGTTCACAATGAGAAAATATTTATTTACATAAATAATAAAAAAGGGTGTAGTTTTTTATATACAAAAAAATAAAGTTTATTTAACAAATATTATTAACAATTACATTATATATTTATTTTGTTTTCATTTTATATATATATACTTTTGTGTGGTTATATAAAAATAAATACCTTTGGATTAATAATGAGAATAATGTTTGTAGTTGTTTGTTGTTTTTTTTTATTATTTAAGTTATAACAAAAAAAGGAGTTGTTGTTTTAGTTTTATTTTTCATTATATTGATGTTTATACAATTCGTCACTTTGTAGTATTTGAGGAGCCAACATGGGAACATTCAACATTCCCAGCCCTGGCTTTAAAGCTTAGGCTCAATTTTGTTGCTGTGAGCTTTAATAGGAAATTTGTAATACCAAATTTCAAAATTAGTTTTTTGCATTCTAATTCCTGTTAGGAAAACCTAACAGGAATACAAAATCCGATCAGTTACATTGTTCCCTTTGCATTATAACCACAAAGGGTATTTGGGATTTTTAGAAAATATATCTAGGGAAACACTCCCTACTTTAGTAACACACACATTTTCTCCAATTCCTAGATTTTTCATTTCCATGACTTCCCTTTTACAGATGTGCCAAAATTTCAATTTGTTCCCTTGAACCACTTTGTGTCACCTCTAAATTTGTGGAATTTTGACATTCCACTGTATTCGTATTGGTGTCAATTTCATTTTGTGGTGTAATGGTTACAATTGTCACCAAATCATCCTTCTTGTCGCCACCCGAAGAAGATTCTCTCTTTGTAATAATACAATTTTGATCCAATTGTAGGGAATTACGTTTCTCTTCTGACTGGGATTTGGACTGGCCATTAATTGTGGTTGTTGTTGCTGATGTTGTTATGGTATTATTTGCCGATGAAGTACCCAATCTTGCCTGTACCGTTCTCTGTTGCAAGGTGTTATATTCCGACAGCTGTTCCACACTCAACGGCTCGGGTATATCTTCATTGGCCAGCAAACGTCCCGATGGTTCTGTTTCAATGCTACGCTCACTGCTTATAGTACCAGGTGTGGTATTACGTGAACGATAACTGGGTGGAAAACTGTATTCTGAACCGCCAATGCTGCTTTCCGCACGTCCTGTTGTGCCAATGCCACCTGCACCGCGTATGGTAGAGGTTAAGGGGGCTCTGTAAAGAGAACGAGAGAGGGAGGAAAATAAATATCATTAGTGTCAGTTTTGTTTTGTTGATTTTTTTGGGGGGTTTCTTAACTTAATTTGCATATTTTATGTAAATTTATTTTTTAAACTTTTGTATATACAGATGTATGAGTCAGTACGTGTGTGTGCATGTGTTTAAAAGGATATTTGACAAAGAGCTAACTGTTTTTTTGCATATCTGGTTAGTATGGGTATGTGGTGAATATTTAATTTGCTTTGACACATTTTTCCACTCTAATTTACATATTGATTGATTATATATTGTTTTAGCAGTGATTTGGATAAATTCATAGGGTTGCCAAATAGCCAAAATAAGGAAAAAACAAAACTTGAAATACTAATTTCTTTTAAAATGGCACCCAGAATTTAAATATTTTAAACGTATCAATTGGAGTATTCAATTCAGGTTTCCAGAGTGAAAATATCTCTTTGAAGATTTGTTTTGTAATTACAGGCCCATTTTTTTGATAAGGGGTATGATATTTTTAGAGCCTTATTCAATACATTCTGATGGCTCTACAATTTTCAAGAAAATTGGCTGTTTGTTCTTATTTGTGTTTATGCTTGGTTCGATTTTTTTTTGGATCCTCGAAGTGCAAGTTTATTGGAGGTTAGTTTTCTTACTTTTTCCTTACAATTTAATTTTTTTAGTTTTTGGTCGAAAAAAATTAACAACCCTGAATGAGGGTATGTTTGGGAGTGTTGAATTGATTTTTTGCATATTTTTGATAATGACAGAGTGATTGATTGGCGTGTGTGTGGTAATATATAAAGATATTTAAATTTTTTTCTAGTCGCGATTTTATTATTTATCTGCGCATGAACATAAATTTTACAAAATGACAAGAAAACATCAGTAAGGAAAGTAGTAAAGTCCTAACAGACGTCGCGTTTTTGTTATATATCTATATCTGAACCGATTTCAGAAAAACTTGCTATAGACTAATTTATAGTAATTAAGTAGGTTGTGTCAATCGCCGCAGCTATGGATCTTTTCACGAAGCTTAGCAACATCATTGTAGACTTAATTCAGTACCCTATACAAAAATTCGTGCAAATCGAAAAATATATAGGGACTTTGCTGCATCAATTACATAAAATCGGACGAAAATATATATGGAAGATATAACTAAATCTGAACCGATTTTCACGAAACTTAGCACACATCATTCTAGGCTTAATTCAGTACGCTATGCAAAAATTCGTGCAAATGAAAAGATTTCCAGGGACTTTTGTGCACCATATACCTAAAATCGGGCGAAACTATATATGGGAGCTATATCAAAATCTGATCCGATTTTCACGAAACTTTGCACACATCATTCTAGACTTAATTCAGTACGCTACGCCAAAATTTGTGCATATCAAAAAATTTCCAGGGACTTTAGTGGACTATTTACCTAAAATCGGACGAAACTATATATAGGAACTATATCTAAATCTGATCCGATTTTCTCGAAACCCGGCACACATCATTCTGGCCCTAATTCAGTACTCTGTGCCAAATTTCGTGCAAATCGAAAGGCATATAGGCACCATTTGCCTTAAATCGGACGAGACTATATATGGGAGCTGTATCTAAATCTAATCCGATTTTCTCGAAACTTAACACACATCATTCTAGACTTAATTCAGTACTCTGTGCCAATTTTTGTGGAAATCGAAAGATATATAGGGACTTTGGTACACCATTTACCATAAATCGGGCGAAAATATATATGGGAACTATATCTAAATCTGAACCGATTGTTCCCATTTTCAATAGGGTTCGTCCTTGGGCCAATTAAGTGACCTGTGCCAAATTTCATCCAAATCGGATCATAAATGCGACCTGTACTTTGTTCACAAAAATACATGGACGTAAATCGACTCAGAAAGTGATTCTATGTATATTCTCAAAAAGAAACCATGTGTCTATCTCGTTTCCTTTAGCCTGTTACAAACATATGCACAAAGACATAATACCCTTTATTACATTGTGGTGAAGGGTATAAATATACTAAAAATAGAGTAAATTGCCCTTCAGTGATACCGACAGATATATACCCTCAACGATAAATACCATCTGCCAACATTATACAGGCATTATTTAAATATTAGGTTGGGGAAAAAGAAATCCATTAGGCCGGTCGTCAAAAATGTCGATAAGATCGGAGAAATTATCGAAGTTCACCGACATGTTAGCAGTCGTAACATCTTCCAGGAGCTAAAAATTGACCATAAAACAGTTTTAAACCATTTACACATAGCTGAATTCAAAAAGAAGCTCGATGTTTGGTTGCCACACCAACTAACAGAAAAAATAGGATGGATCGAATTTCCATCTGCGAAGCCTTGGTCAAACGGAATGAGATAGACCCATTTCTTAAACGGATGATGACTGGAGAAGAGAAATGTATCACATACGATAACGCTGTAAGAAAACGATCGTGGTCGAAGAGCGGTGAAGTACCTCAAACGGTGGCCAAACCAGGATTAACGGCCAGGACGGTGCTGCTATGCATTTGGTGGGGATTATTTATTATGAGTTGCTTTCATATAGCCAAACGCTAAATTATGTCAACAACTGGATCGTTTGAAGATAGCAATTGACCAGAATTGGCCAATAGGAGAGGTGCCGTGTTCCAACAGGACAACCCTAGGCCACACACATCTACAGTGACTCGCCAGAAACTTCAGGAGCTTGGTTGCGAACTTTTAATGCATCCGCAATACAGTCCGGACTTGACACCAAGCGATTGTCATCTTTTCCTTGCATTGCAAAATTTCTTTTATGATAAAAATTGGTATCTAGGGAGGATTGTGAAAACCGACTATTAGAGTCTTTTGCAAATAGAGTGCAGGACTTCTATGAGAGAGGTATTATGAAGTTACCTTTAAAATATCAACAAATCATACAACAAAACGGTGCATATTTGGCCCAAATCGGACATTCCGAAGCATGTTAAATAAAGTCATATAGTTCATATAAAAATAGTGGATTATTTCTTCGCCAACCTAATATTACGATGAGCAAACTTTACATATTCCGTTCGTTTCAAATAGGATTTACAATGTTTCGAAATGTTTTCCTTTGTGGATATAATCTATGTTCGGAACAAATATTACGTTATGTAAAGTTGGAATAAAATCGGTTACTCCCTGAGGGAGATGTCGGGCGCACCATACGGCCAGACAGAGAGACATTTGTAAAACGACTGCAAATTGTAGGAAACGGATTTGGTCCAAAGAAACATGGGGTCTAAAACCAATATTTCGATGATTGATGTTCTTTGTAGTAGCAAAGTGTATGTACCATCATTGCCAATAAGGCTAAGGCTAAATACTTAAAATCGATTGGGATATATTTATGTGTGTGCTAAGATGTGCCTTAAGCTCTGAGAAAAGTATGTAACAATGTCCAGACACTTAGTTTGGAAAATTGTTCTAGGATCCTTAACATATCGAAAATATAGCGGAGCCTTTTGTATGGGGGCTATTTCAAGAAATTGACATATTTTAAACATTTTCTTCTAAAATTTTTTTCCAGGATTCCAGAGTTACAGCCACATCGATGCGAAAATGCAAAGAATCTAACTTTTCGAATCTTAAAAAATTTGTCTTTAATTGTTTTTGTTAACTCTTCAAAACCCTGAAACGAAGAATTACAGCCACTTTGGGAGCCAAATGCGCCTAACACCTTCAAAATAAGAGAAATTTGTCTGTTAGTACCTTTTTTATGTTCTGAGCAGATTAAGTACCAAAATCCAGACACTCAGGTTGGAAAATTTTTCTAGCATACCAAAAATGTAGCAATACCTTCATATGGGGACTATTTGAAAATATAGACCTATTATTACAGTTATATGGTTGATATTCCCACGTACAAGAGTTGCAATATCAACATCCTTGCAGTTGTAGCAATGCGTATTCAAAAGGTAATAGGTTTCCGACAAATATTTCGAGGTGTAGGAAAGTATAACATCGAGCGAAAAAATAATGCATTCCTGTTAGTGCTCACTGAAAATCGTTGAAATTTGAAATCTCGAAATTGAACCCTTCCTATATCCTCAGTATTTTTTCTATTTTCTATAAAAACATCTAGTGAAGTGTTATTTTCGAAAAACTAGGCAAAGTGTATTTAAAAAAAACCCCTTTTTATCATTAAAATATTCTCCTATTATTGAAATCATCCTAATTGTCTGCCAGTAAACTTGAATACCTTACCATTCCCATCACATTAAACGCAGACATCTAATATTAAAAACCAACAAATAAATTCAATATTCTCCCCATTATTAATTCATTGTTCAGACAACTCTTATCGCATTCATTAGCCAACCTTTTCTAATTGAAATTTCTTACAATTCAACAACTGGCTAATTGTTCACAAAACTCTTTGCCGGCTGCAAGTGGCTGCTACAAGTATTCTTGTTCGAAACCTTTATTGGTTTTGAAAAGTTTTATTTATTTTCTTTAATAGGAAGAAGATTTACGGAGAACATAAAGATGGTTGCTGCCTTGTGGTTGTTTGTAGTAGTGTTACAAGTACTTCATCTTATCCTTAGACGATTAATATGAGGCTCATTTAACAGATAATTGCCACTTTGATCTTTCCTTCTGTCGTTTCTTTTTCCACCGAAAAAAATGCAAATGGTAATTAGGCCCAAACGGAACCATGGAAATTTTTGTTTGTTATGTTTGCTGGGGTACCATGGTAGCCAAGATTTTAAGATTCCTATTTTTTCCTTTTCATCTTCCACTTTGCCAGCAATTCCCTAAGAAGATTTTTTTGTTTGTTAAACATATAGACACAATTTCAACAAATGAGGCTGTTCGCTATTTAGTCTGTGATAACAGGAAGACGAAAAATAAAGATGTCGAAGATGCTGAAAGCCGTTTGACTTGATTCTGCCAAACTTTGTGTGTTTGGTTTCCTTGTCAAAATGTCTTAATTTTTTTGTTTTCCTTGAAGTTGTTGTTGTTGCT